AGTGGGTCGAGGATAACAATGACGGTCCGGTAGGCAATACACTGGGCTTTGTATTGGCAGTCAATGGCTATGATGTCTGGTTGGCTAATATGAGGGGAACTTTGTATTCATTAAATCACATGAAATATAATATTAAAGGTTTGTATTTATTTTTAAATAAAATAAATAATAATTAGCCATGTCATTGTCAATCATATTTTCTTAATTTTTTGCGAATAGATCCTAGGTACTGGAAGTTTTCAATCGATGAGATAGTAGATTATGACTTACCGGCGATCATATCTTACATACAATTGAAGACTGAAAATTGTTAGACCTAGTTACTCATAAAATTTATAAATTATTAATACAGTAACAATTTGATTATACTATAGTTGAAATAGCATATATTGGATTCTCACTGGGCAGTGGTGTCATGATAAATTTGTTAGCCAGTCAACCTCATTACGCTGATATTATAAAGCCATTTATTGGCATTGCACCATTTGCTATATTTAATGGCAATACGACCTCGCCCGTATTTGTAGAATTCGGACCTATACTGCCATATTTCAGGTATTATAAATATTAGTCATTTCAAAATGATAATATTTATTTAAATGCTTTTTAAAAATTTCATAATTAAAATTGTTAAGAAATTACACGTTTTTAACCTAATTTATTCATACGAAATATTAAGAACTGAAAAGACCCCGATACTATCATTACCACTTCAAGCTAAGCTATGGCGTATACTCTCACACGTATGCGATGCCAATGTAATCAGGTTAATTTGTTTTAAAATATTCAAATTACTTCTTGGATCTCAACCGGATCAGTGGAATTTGGTATAAAATTGTTATAAATATTAATATTACATATTATAAAATAATATTGTGATGATTATCTAGGCACAAACGGGGGTTAAGGTAAATAACATATTGGCGGGTCTGGGTAGTGGCGTAGCTTCCCATTCATTGCAAATAATTGAAGCAAATAGTCCTCAACGGTATGATTACGGGGATGATATAATGAATTTACAAAAATATGGGTCCGTAACACCACCTTGTTACGATATATCGGCCATAACTTCGACTAATATAGCGTTCATATACGCGGCCAGCGATTGGATAGTACCGGTGCCTGACGTACGGAATATAATACATCATTTGAAAGGTTTTGTAAAATTAATATTATTTGAACTTAGCTTGCAGAATTTTAATTTTTATTATTTCCAGTGCCATTACTAGATGATTATTTGGTACCGGACCACACGTGGAATCACATGGATTTACTGTGGGCCAGGGAGGCTGGTCGATATGTGAATACTAGGGTAATGAAAATTCTGAATAAATCAATGTAAAATTAATAGATAAAAATATAAAATAAAATATGAATAATAAATACTTTTGTTATTAATTATAAAAGATTTATAAATTATATAATTTATTCTTATGTTATTGTTACGAAAATTACATAAACCCACATTAAATTAATTATTTATATAATTTACATAAATATTGAGGCACTACAAATACCAAGGATATATTTGCTTGCTTATTTGCCATTGGATGCAAGCTAGGATTACTCACATATAATTTAAATATTATATTCATTATAAATTTTATTCCCTTTAATAAACACTAATCTATTTATAAGGTTGTCCCAAAAAGTCAAATGTTTAAAACTGAATTGTGGTTAAACCGTTATACATACCATTAAGAAAATTTCACAGCTGGTAGTGTATTGTTATACAATATATCAAACAAAACCCTAACTATTCCTCTACATTTCAGTTAAAGAAACATTTAAAAATAGTGCAAGGTGTTTAAATAAACTTGATTTCAAATAGGGAAATTCTTTTTTGCCTAGCATGAACATGTGTAATGTAAGAAATGCGGTAGTAAAATATTAGTTACTAATAAAAACTTGCATATTTGAGCGAATCATTATTAAATGAATATTTAACTATACAGAAACTTAGAAAAACCACTTTTTACAATGAATTTAAATAGTTATAGCAAAGTTGCCTCTAATATTAATGTGTTTCATATGTTTATAATGATTAATGTATGCCTTGTGTGCTATTTTATTAAACAACCACTACATCACTATCAAACTATTTCGTAAACAATTTATCAGTTTGCGACATCATCAGTTAAATAAGATAAGGTTAATCAGTATTTATAATGAATTGAATTGAGTACATATTTTAGTACATTATATTATTATTTTCATATATTTTTATTGCAAAAAATAATCTAATAATTATGATTTAAAAATATAATTGTTAATTAATATTAACTATAATTTGAATTAAATATGTGGTGTAATAATATTTTGGTAATCATATTAGTTACTCTGACTGCACTGTATTTTTTACCAGTATTGGATAATATTATTGCCCTGATTAAATCAAACGAAGATATTGACCGAGATACTGTAAGCAAAATATTCTTAAAATTTATAAGTTATAAAATTCCATAATTGTCACCATGCTACATCAAATAATATCAATCAGTATATTTCTTAAAACTAAAATAATTATAAGAAAGTAAAAAATTAGACTTTGTTTCTAATTATATTACAAAGGCTCAAATTATAGAGTCCCGGGGCTTTCGGGCTGAAAACCATTACATAACTACCGGTGATGGATATATACTGTCATTTACCCGGATAGTCAACCCTCACGTCACCGACCGCTCAAAACTACGGCCCATAATATTACAGCATGGCTTTCAGGCCAATGCCGACATGTGGCTCATTAACTCCATGGGAAGGCTCACCGATAAGGGCCAGTGGGTCGAGGATAACAACAACGGCCCGGTAGGCAATACCCTGGGCTTTGTATTGGCAGTCAATGGCTATGACGTCTGGTTGGCTAATATGAGGGGAAATATATATTCACAAAATCACACTAAATTTAAAATTGATGGTTTGTTTTCATAATAATTAATTTTAATTAATCATATTTTTAAAATTTTTTTAATCTACAAGTCCCTCATTATTTATACGGTATACCTATAGATCCAAGATTCTGGAGGTTTTCTGTCGATGAGATGATTGATTACGACTTACCGGCGATGATATCATACATACAAAAGGAGACCCAAAAAGGTTTTTAAACTATTATTAAGTATTTGAACAATATTCTAATATGCTTGTTCAGATTATTAATAAATTTTTCTATTGCAGAGAAAATATCATATATTGGCCATTCTCAAGGTGGTCTTATAATGTATGGCCTTTTAGCTAGTCAACCACAATACTCCAATATAATTGAACCGGCTATATTAATAGCAACTGTCCCATTTCTTGGTAACACCACAACACCGTTATTTGTTTATGGCAAACACATATTATCTTTTTTCAAGTAAAAATAATTTAAATATTTTAAATATTTCTAATTAAATGGCATTATGATTATCATTAAATCATTATATAAATGACCTTAACCATTCAGGAACTCGGATACACCATTCCTATTGGTTCCTAAATTTAGGAAATCATTGGGACACCTGTGCGACTCGTCATTTATATCACGATATATTTGCTACACATTTATCAAGTTGACATTGGGATTTCAACAGGATCAGTGGGATTTTGTATTATACAATTATTACCTTTTTTAATTCCCTTAACCTTTGGTTTTTCATATGAATAATAAACAATAATAATTTATTATTTGATATACAGACTCGAACAGGTGTTTACATATCAACAATGATTTCGGGCTCCAGTAGTCGGAACGTTGAGCACATCCATCAAATTATTAATGCAATCCGTTTTCAACGTTATGACTACGGGGATAATGAGACAAATACCCAAAAATATCAGTCCCAGGTACCCCCACCCTATGATATGTCCGCAATTAACTCAACTAACATAGCGCTCATATATACGGCTAATGATTGGATGATTACTTTACCGGACCTACAAAAACTTAAGGGTCATCTCAAAGGTAATTTTTAAACCTTGGTGTTTATTTTAAAACTTAAAAATTGTATCACCATATACAATTGTAGTCCAATATATTTATTTTAGTAAAATTGTTAGACGATTATATGGTACCTGAGCTGACTTGGAACCATAATGAACCATTGTTGGGCAGGGAAGCAGGTATATATGTCAATACCAGGATATTAAATATTTTACGAATGACAGGGTTAAATTAATTTTGTTATATAAAAATAAATAAAAATACACAATACTACGGTAGTACAACTACTGTACCTAATGTATCGATAAATTACAATTTAATTTTAATATAATTATTATACAGTAATATGTACAGTACTAAAGATAGTTAGCAATATAATAACATTAGATATAAATTTATATCCACAATTTTACATACAATATGTTAACTTAACTTAATAGATTTTGTCATAATAATAATTTTATTAAGTGATATTAATATTATTTATATAACCTTAATTGTGTATATTAATTAGACATTTGTTGCCGGGTGATATTATTTCAATAATAAAAACAAACATATTTACTATTTTATTGTCCATTAGCTTTTAAAATTTAATCTTGATAAAGTACAAAGCACTGTAATTTATATAAAACATGCATGCAGTACAAAACATAATTACAAAACTATTATAAATTGTATTTTCGTTGCTATTAATATAAAATACATTATAATAAAAATTATTATTATAAATAGAAAATAAAATTGTTTATTCATAACCTGATAAAATATAAAATATATGCTTGATTTTTGGTTTTAAAATATGAAAATTAAAATTAGTTTTAATAAATTATTCACACTTGTGTCGTATATGTTATGTTTGTCTGGATGTTTGTATCAAACGTATAAATTAAGTGAAATCTACTTTTCATACGAAACCACTACTAATGTGTTATATGAATCAAAATTATCCGGGTTAAACACTTACCCAGCTTTAACAATTTGTTGGCTTAAATGGGATATATTGCAATATAATATCACCTCGATGAGGCAACTAATTAAAATGCCGATAAAAAAACAATTTGACATGTTAGCCCAATGGGAAATTAATCTAAAATACGATTTAAATTTTAATCATGGCCATTATATTGACCTGGATGAGTGGGATGCTCATTCACTTAATCGGCTATATTATTGTTTGACTATTAGCCCTAAGAAAATTATACAGACTAAAATTAATTACGAAAATATAGCTATAAATGTACAATTTTTAAAAAATTATGTTAATCATTTTAAAGATATACGAGTTACCATGCACCATGGTGACCGTCGAATTTATTATCCAGTTCAAAACACTACATTAACATTGAATTATACTAAAAATACTCGAGTCAATATAAATTACAAACACACTATTATATCGTATAAATCAAACATATTTAGTAAACAATGTTTCACTGGAAACCATAGTTGGGATGAGTGTTATCATAAATGTTACATACAACAATGTTCAAGACAAAATTTATTAGTTTATTATAAATATTTGATATACCAAGATTATAATTTTACAGTAAATTATTTTACACCAAAATTCTATAGACGTATCATAAAGGACTGTAACCATGAATGCAATGATAAAGTAGATTGTATTCAATATCATTACGCGATTGACAGTTACGTTGAAAATATCAAAAATACAAATGAATTTGAAATTTACTTAAAGTTTCCGTCGGAGCCGACGACTGTATACGAGATATCATTGAAAATGTCTTTTGAGGAGTATTTGAGTCTAACGGCGAGTATTATAAGCCTATGGTTTGGATACTCTATTGTCATGTGTACAGAGGGTTTACGACACGTTTTTGGTACACTTAATGTTTGCAAATTATTTCTTTGCATCAAAACCAAAGGATTTGATAAAACACATATTAACCTAATTAAAAACTTCAAAATTAATGTTTTTAACAAATCAATTACTAGAGTATGTAGAAAGCAAAAACCGCGATTTGTCAATACTAAAGTCAATACTATTTCATAAATAAATTATTATAAAATCTTTATGAATAGTGTCATGCTTTAAAAAGTCTTTAATTTAACAAGAAATATGAGATAATGATTAAATTTTCTTTTTTACAATTATTATATTTAAATTACTGGACAATTATGAGTTACATAATCCCGCCTGAAATCATATTGATTTTGTATGGGTAATGAACGCGGGTAAGATTGTAAGTGTGTGAATATTGGACATTCTCAATAAATTTTATTTGTGAAAGAAATCAACAAAATTTGTTATAATTTAATTATATTTTGTCTTAACTACAAAATATGATTAAATATTTGTAATCACCGTTATTATAATTATTTTATATAATGCTAGCAAAATATATTTATAGATAAACACAATGTTTTACTTTGAATAGCATATGTTCAATTTATCGCGAATCTAAAATTTAGGTGGTTTAATTATTAAACTTTAATATATTAATAAATATAGTTATTGGTTTATACACGTGAATACCTTGATATAATTACCAAAACACCCTTAATAGTAAATTCATAGGCACACATGTTGGTGTTACCAATACAAATCATTATAATAAATGAATTCTTAATAATTTTAGAAGTTTTATTTAATAATTAATTTCCTGACAACATAAGTCTGAAATAGTCTGATATAATCTGACAGAAAAAGCCGATGCTAAAACAACCCACACATAACATAACAACACCGCTGTATATTATTCTAGCTTGCTTGAATTGTATAATATGATATTATATGAGTTGCCCTATTGTATATTGTAATGTAAGATCTCAATTGTTATAATGAGGGGTTAAAATATATTAAACATAATTACTAAACATGTTATAATTTATAATGCATTTGTATTAATTTAAGTAGTTCTCTTAAATAAGCATCCTATGAGTATTATTATAATATTACTATCAATAATGGAATCATTTTTAATAACCTTATTAATTGCATATATCATTTCATTATTATTTGACATTAATCCATGGCTACGACTGTGCTGGGTGGCCTGCCTAATCATAAGTTTTATACACAACTACTGGCATCCAATACGAATATTCTGGTTAACATTACCCCGAGATCTGAAAACTACAAAATTATTGCCTGCTAAATATTTCCTGTATAAATGCAAACGACATAACAAATCGGTGCCAAAAGTATTCAAAGAAATAGCTTTTAAATACCCGAATCGAGTCATGTGTTACTATAGGGACGATGTGTGGACTTTCGCTCAAATCGATAATTTTTCAAATAGGGTGACCAACTGTTTTACAGAAATGGGTTATGGAAAGGGTGATCACGTGGCACTTATGATGGGCAACCGACCAGAGTTTGTGGGCCTATGGCTCGGCCTATCTAAGGTCGGCATCATATCAGTCCTAATTAACACCAGTCAACGCATGGAAACGCTCATACATTCCCTAACTGTAATCAAATGTAGGGCCTTGATATATGAACCAGAGTTTGCAAACTCAATTCGAGATGTAATTAACAAGGTGAAAAATATAAACCCATTGATGGAATATTATATATACAGTGATCATGTGATAGCTGATGATAACCGGGATATTCCTTCAGAACCATTGCACCAACTTTTA